TTTTTACTATCATAGTAAATCAGTTAATGAATTATTCACTTTTAGCTATAATATCGTATTACGGTATAACTATGAAAATGATCTGTATCTGTGAAAGTGCAATACACATTGCAATGATATTACTGATTAATTTTGAAATTACCACGTCATTTTGATCACTTATCACTTTATACTTTAATTATTGATTGAATATTTTAGGACAAATTTATTTAAAGTGTTTAAAATGGATGAAAGTAGAAGGATTAGTTTGTTCTGTAGGAATGAAAAAAGAAAAGATTTTGTCAACAATGTCAATCACCTTCCATCTTTTTTCCTCTTTCACTTTAATGTACTTTAAAGGTATTCCTATATAATATCGGATCAGTAATTAATGAAAGATGATTGGACGGTGGAAATAAATGTTTCACTTCGAAACAGATTATAGAACTAACCGGATTTATATTTTATGTGACGTGAAGATAAAACTAAATGATGCCTTATGTGACGTTAGGAAGAAACCGGATTATGTTTTATGTGACGTTAATAAATTTTGAACACAGTATTTCATTCCAGAGTGCGGGACTGATGGTTTATTCAATCCATCTGTCAAAAAAGGATCCTTTTTGAATTGATGAGCAAATAATATATTTGGAATGGATTACAGGTAATTTTGATATCGCTAGGGAGTAGAGTAGTTCATAATGAAGGGCGATAGCGTTGGATGTAATGATTGGTAACGATAGCGCAGTTAATCCGAAATTTTATTCTTGTAAAGACAAAATAGCGCAACACTAGGGGAAGACTAGTATCGTGAATCGTATCATAATGTGAATAGGAAGGGTAAGCTCTTATATAGTGTTTGTGAATAACATAAACAAAGCGACACAATTGTTTATCGTTTATAGCAGATAAATTACCTCATTAAAGTATCTATCAAAATTGGTTAGAGATATTTTTGAAATTTTGTCAAGAAATGTAAGTGTTCGTTAAATGTTCCCAAAGTTTCAATGGAAAATTTTTTTATATGAGATCTTTAGATAATTCTTACAAGACAAAAAAGAAAGTTGATTTTCATGACCAAGTTTTCTTTTTTTTGCTATAAAATTTAGAAACGAGAGACATCGTCGAAGATGTTACCATTAAGGTTATCGTTGTCAAAGTTTTCAAGATTAATATCTTCGATGTTAACAACAACATTATCGGGGATGTTAAGATCATCGAAGATGCTATCATCAGGCTTGTCGAGGTTGATAAAGTTTTCTGAAGGATGCTCATCACTTGAATGATCTTGTTGATCTACTGAATATTGATCGGCAATGATATGGTTTCGTGTGTCTGCCAAAGTATGTCCCAACTGTGGATTTTGTTCTGTTGGGCCTAGAATGAATATTTCTTAGATATCACTTCATTGTGCCAAAGGAAGTGACTCCACGGTCACGCATTTTTCGCAACATATTTTTCACGTGCATTCATTTCAGGTAGATAAATAAATGCTAAGAACTTTCTGAATTTGCAAAACTGAGAACCTCTGCGGGAAAATTTCTTGTGTCTCCTCAGTGACTGCTTAAAACTAAGGAATTTCTCACTCTGAGGTTCGTGTTGACCGGATTTCTTGTGTTTGGAGAATGATGATGGATGGATGAATTTTTTCCCACAACCGGGATTTTTGCATTGGTAGAGAAATGGTTTATTGTGCGTTAGGAAATGCTTGTTATATTCTCCTTTGTCCTGCATGGTCGCATTACAGTTAAAATGTGGACATTTATACGTCTTCGCATCTGGAAAACAACTGCTGTCACAGTGTTTATAATTAGTTTTTCTATCATTGCGTTTGGTAATTAATTGACTTAATCTGAAAACAGATCATGAAGATATCAGTGTCATAAAACAAATTTTACATTCCAATTAATTTAGAATCCGGGAAACTATTCACTGGTTTGTATATATTTGCAATAGAATCTAAGTATTAATGTTACATTAATGATATAATCTCCCACAACGCATAGTTGTGAATTTTGGTGTGGCGAGAACAGTTTTGATTTTGGATTAATTACTGCTTGTATTTTCAACTTCGCGCAATTGAGTGAAAGGAGTAAAGTG